TTGGAGCGAGCCACCTCAATGCCCAAGAAGTACAGTAGGGGACCAAGATCCTTAATCTCAAACTGATGGCCAAGATAGCTCTTAACCTCATTAATTCCGGTAGTATCATCGTCGGTAAGAATAATATCATCGACATACACAATGAGAGCAACTGTCTTACCGCCTGAATGATGTAAAAACAAGGTATGATCAGCTGCACTTTGATGGAAACCAAACTTGAGCATAGCAGTGCCAAAGCGATCAGGCCAAGCTCGAGGAGATTGCTTGAGGCCATACAGAGAACGCCAAAGACGACATACCATACCAGAATGAGCAGGAGAACGAAAGCCCGGAGGAGGAACCATGTACACCTCCTCCTGCAAATCACCATTAAGAAAGGTATTCTTGACCTAACTGAAATAGAGGCCAAGATCGAATTGAAGCAACGGAAAATAATACACGGATGGTATTCATCTTGGTAACAGGGGCAAAAGTCTCCTGATAATCTATGCCATAAGTCTGAGCATAACCCTTGGCAACCAATTGGGCCTTGTAACGAGCAACTGACCCATCTGGATTATGCTTAACTGTAAACACCCAACGACAACCCCACAGCCTTTCGTCCAATAGGGAGCGGAACCATGTCCCAAGTCTGATTTTTCTCAAGTGCTTGTAGTTCTTCTGTTATAGCATCACGCCATTGAGGTTGTGCTAGTGCATCTGCAACACTAGAAGGAATAGGAACCGAGGCAACAGAAACAAGAAAACTCCGATAGGAGGGTGAGAGAGCATAATCAGAAACAAAATTAGAAATAGGGTAAGTACAAGAACGTTTATCCTTTCGAAGAGCAATGGGGCGATCATCAAGCGAAACAATAGCTTGAGAAGGCGAAGCTGGTGCCGAAAGAGCAGGGCAGTCGATCGTGGGAGTAGAAGCTTGTACCTGTTGTCTCCGACTATAAACCTGTGAAAAAGGAACAATTCCCCCTGCTGGAGGGGTATCACGAGGAGGAATCATAGAAGAAGAAACAGGTAATGGTAGAGGAGTTGAAGACGGAAGAAGGTGATCATCCATTATATTTAATAGGAACCATTCACTTTGAGTACCGACTGAACCACTATAGTATGGTGTATGCTCAAAGAAAGAAACATCCATGGATATAAACCGTCGACGATTGGGAGGATGGTAACACCTATAACTTTTTTGAGAGTGAGAATAGCCAAAAAACACACTTCAAAGCCTTGGGGTCAAGCTTTGTACGAGTTTGCCCCAACTGCTGAACAAAGCACACACACCCAAAGACTCGTGGAGAAATCAAAAAACAGAGATGAATTGGGATGTAAGATTGAGAGTGGGGCTGTAAAGTTAAGAATCCTAGAAGGAGTCCTATTAATGATGTAAATAGCGGTAAAAACTGCATCTCCCCAAAGTGACTGGGGAGCATTCATGCCAATGCAGATTGCTCTGGCTAAGTCAAGGATGTGGTGATTCTTTCTCTCAGAACGACCATTCTGTTGAGGAGTTTTAACATTAGCCGGCCGATGCTCAATCCCAAATTCTGTACATAACCGTTGGACCTCCCCATAAGTGTACTCTATACCCTAGTCAGATCGGAATTTTTTAATGGTACGACCATATTGAGTTTGAACCATTGTCATAAAATTTTTAAAAATGGTGTATACCTCATTTTTGGTTTTCATAAGATAAACCCAACTAACACGACTATGATCATCAATGAACAACACGAAATATCGAAATCCAAAACTAGAAGTAACTGGGCAATGACCCCACACATCTGAATGAACAAGATCAAAAGGTGTTAAAGCATATTTATTACTACTAGCAGGATAATTGGAACGAACATGTTTAGCCATATGACATGTTACAAAATAAGGAAGGAAATAAATGTTTCAAATAACCAAAAGAAATATATCCTAAACGCATAAGCTGGGCTTTATTAGATGAAACAATATTAGAAAATGAAGCTGAATGTGCTTGAGGTGACAAAGGAGCATCCAACAGGTATAAACCGTCCACTTCACGCCCACTGCCAATCGTCCGTTTCGACACCAGATCTTGAAAAATACAATGAGAGGGAAAGAACGTTACACTACAATTTAATTGTTTGGTAACGCTACTAACAAAAATAAGATTTGTATTAACTTTGAAACATGAAGTGTATTTGACAAAGTTAATGAAGGAGTAACTGATATGTGACCATTCCCAGCAATGGAAGATGGAGAGCCATCCACAAGGCGGACCTTGCGTTGGCCAGAGCAGATAATATAAGATTGGAAGAGTGAGGACATACCAGTCATATTGTCTGAAGCACCAGAATCAATGATCCATGGTGTTGAAGATGTAGATACGCTATGTGCAGACGCAATAGTACCTGAATGGGCATAAGTGGAGGTTGGCTGAGATGATGCCTCCATTGGTTGAAGAATTGCTTGAACTTGTCCAAATCAGCTTGAGTCAAGGTAACTATGGCAGAAGATGTAGAGGCAGGGTTGTCAGGAGTTGACAACGAAACTGGTTGTGTAACAGAATGTGCAGAGGATCGAGGCTGTTGTTTCTGTTGTGGTGGACGTCCATGTAGAGCATAACAACGAGATTTGATGTGACCAAATTTTCTGCAATGGTCACACCGTCCACGTTGTCGTCCCGAAGGAGGACCAGTGGTAGTGCTCTGAATTGACTGGGATGGTGAAGTTCCTGAAAGGTTGGGAATCCGAACTGCCATAGCAGAACGATCAACAGAAGCAACACCTAATGGATGAGTCCGGCGGCTCTTATCTGACAACACATAGGAATATGCATCCTCAAGAGTAGGGAATGAAGATAAGCCCAATAAATGAACACGGGCATACTCAAACTCGTCGTTCAACCCGGTAAGAAACTGAAACACTCGATTCTTCTCCACAATTCCTGCATATAAAACTGCATCATCTGGATCATTCCAAGAGTGGAAGGAATCATAATATGACATCTCCTCCCAAATAGCACGAAGCTTGGCGATGTAACCTGAAACTGTTAAGTCACCCTGAGAAATCCTGGTGATATCTCGCCCCAGTTGGAAAATTCGTTCATTATTCTGCCTCTGAGAATAAGTGCGTTGAACTGAATCCTAAATCTGCTTAGCAGTCTTCATAAACATATAGCCAACAACTATGTTTGGTTGTATCGAATTGATTAGCCAAGACATAACCATAGTGTTATCTGCAAACCATTGTGGATATGCCTTCTCTGACTCAGCTGGCTCTTTCTCAGAACCAATAATATAGCCAATTTTGCCTTTGCCACCAATGAACATCTTGGCAGACTGTGCCCAAATCAAATAGTTGGAACCATCCAACTTCACTGTGGTGATTTGAAGTCCTGGATTTTCTAATGAGTTGGTGGGAAAAATGGCACCACCACCCACAGAACGTGAGCCAAGAGAAATAACAGTCGAGGACCCTGAATCTGCCATAATCTGTCACACGATAATAAAAAAACTCCAAAAACACCACAAATTCTGTTAATAAATCAAAGGGTCTCCTCAGATCATAAACAATGTCTCCTCAGACCATTCCTAAAAAATCCAAATATATACCTTTTTTAAGGAGCGCTGTCCGCTTACATATAGCCAGACAGCCTCTTTCTTAATATTCGGAACCTCTTTGTAAACTAATTTTTTTTTTTACCCAAGCCCTTCTAGGTGTTGGAAACCAACTATCCCAATTTACCCAACCCTAGAAGAGTGAAAAAGAAATTGTAAAACTTAAAAATACCCGTTTTTGATCACAAAACAGCAACACAGAAAAACATGTGTAGGCAACGTCACACGATGTCACAAACAGCCTAAGGTAGCTGTCGCACAAGTAGCAAGGCTGCTGAAAGGTGTGGGAAGGTGTTGGCTCCGATACCAAGTAGAAATATAAAAAGAACAAGGAGAGAATTGTGTAAAGGCTTGAATGAGATGAATTACTCATTCACAACTCTAGTATTTATAGATAAAATGAGCACATGCTCATATTACAAGAAAGGAAACTAAATCAAATCAAAATCAAATCACAACTTATTCTAAAGCATATTCTATGGCATATTCTATAGCATAGTCAAATCTTTGCTATTATGGTAAGTCATACCATAAATCGTGGTATCATATATGTTATTATATGCATAGTCAAATCTCTGCTATTATGGTAAGTCATACCATAAATCGTGGTATCATAAATGCTAACACTCTTATCATTCTATTCACCAATAAGTGCTTTATTCTTCTTGTCCTTTATTTTATGTGACTCTACAACCAGACTTTGTTAACCCTTGTCTACTATTAAGAATTATTATCTGGCAACCCCAAATCCTTCCCCCTTTCAAAAATTAAACCCTAGCATCATAAAACTACAAAACCAGCCTAGTTACCGTTCTGAGACACTGTTCATATCCCAAGCACAATCCCAAACTTTGCATTTTTTATTTTTTATTTTTTATTTATTTTATTTTTTTGCCTAATAAAATCCCTAAAATCTTATTCCTTTTGGAAACCCTTAAAAATCCTAAAAGTCCACAATTTTTGGAACCTATAAAATTCAGTCTTAAAAGAGCGGGTTTAGCACTGTCCTATATATCAAAGTTTGTGGGAGAGTGTTTCACGCACTTGTCCTATTTCATGTATCTACTTTTTCATATAAAATAGTTTGCAGTTGTAACAAGAAAGCTTTTTTCTTGGTCCATAGAATCGTCAAGTACCCAGTTATATTACTAAACAGATACTATGGTATTTTCCTAAAGCAGACAAGGCCTCTTGAGTATGAAAGAAATTGTTAGGTGGGTAAGTGGGAAGGCGGAGTTCTGCCTTTTGTTTTATTCTCTCCTTTTTTTCTTTTTTTTTTTTCTTTTTCTTTTGGTTTTCCTTTATTTTTATTTTCTTTTTGAACATTGCAATTAGATATTACAATTTGATCGATCTTGTATCTTATTGGTGGCAGTGTGCTTATATGTGTTTATTATCAATCCAATATTTATGCTACAGGTTTTATCAGTTAAACTTGATGAATGGGCAGATGAACAAGTAGATACTTTGATAGAAATGGGTGGGAATACTGAGGTAAACTCAAAATATGAAGCTGTTATTCCAGACAATATCAGAAAACCAAAACCAGATTCCTCTATAGAGGAACGCACCGATTTCATTAGGTAATAGAAATCCGTCAGAAATCATAATTTTGTATACACAATGTATCCATTCAAAACCAGATGCCCACTTCTTTTATATGCAGGAGAAAATATGAGATGCAACAATTTTTGTATACTGACATACGGCTGTCCTGCCCATTCCCATCTCCTGCTTTGAAATCATCCTCGTCCAATTGCGGTTCTTCAGGCAATAATTCTGGTTCAGCCCCAGATAAGAAACAGTCGGAGAAGCAAACAGCTGCCAGTCGTATTCAGAGTCTTGGGAATGCATTTCGCAACAGTTGGAGGAGGAAAGAGTCCGAACAAAAGGCTCCTAAGAAGAGTAACTCTACTAACTCAATGGTAATGATCTTCTTTTATTTATTCTTTTCCTTAACACAAGACTGTTCGTGAATGTTTTGGATGCTATTTTTCATTAGCATTTGTTACACAAAGAAGTATGCACTTGTTAAATTTTCTACAATAAAAAAAATTTCTTTGTAAATTGATTTTTGGTTAAATAAAATTGAGAAAAAAACAACTTTTTAGATTTATTTATTTACTTCTCCTTGAGATTTTTTTAGGAAAGGACTTCAACTTTTTTGCAACTGTTAGAATGTTTATATATATATTGGGTTATTATGTAATTACCCATAGTTGTTGGGACCATTGTGTAATTAGGTAACTTTGTACAATTAGGTTTTTTGTTTTCCTTTATATAAGCCACTGTAGGCTTAAAGGTTGGAGAAGAGATATCAATATATACACAGCTTTGCTCTCTCTCTTTCTCTCTCATAAAATCGAACATGGTATCAGAGCAATATGAATTCATGGGTGTGGCAAAACGTCAAGTGTGTTGTTCTTGTGTAAGATCGGAATCACGATCGTGGTGTTGTTCTCTCTGCCGGAAGTTTGGTAGTCGGTCGGATTGAGAGCTCCTTGTTTGTCGTCCTCAGATCTGAAGCCTCATTCGTCGTTGGCAGATCTGAAGCTCGTGTCGTTGCCGTTTTAGTTGTCATCAAGCTCGCCGACATCTACCATCGTTATTTGTAGCGGTGAGTTCATCGATTCGTGGTTCCTTCTTGGCTGGAAGTTGAAGAGGTTCTGATTCGGTATGGCCGATTTGTCTGCTGCTTGTAATTGGGTTGCCGAAGCCTCCGCTGTGTTGTTCCCCGGCTTCCGTGAGGGTGTGAAGAAGAAGAACCGTGTTTGGTTACACAGTTATGTTATTCCAACCCCGGTTTACTAAAACCGGGATAGCTATTCCAACCCTGGTTTACTAAAACCGGGATAGCACAGATCCGATCCGTTTGACCAGGCCCGACCCGGTTGTCCAGATCCTACCTGGGTTTCCAGATCCGACCCGGATCTCGATTCTGCAATTTTTCCAGGGTTGTTTTGTTTTTGTTTTTTTTTTTTTTTACCTTCTCCATGGCTTCCAGTTCAGACTTGTTATCTTCTACCTCCTTCAATCCTCCCATGACTTCAGTCAAGCTTAATGGCAAAAATTACATTTTATGGGCCAAGTCAGTGGCCATTTTCCCGAAAGCCAAAGGCTTTGGCTCTCATTTGGTTAATGATAAACCCAAAAATAGTGATGCTGATTTCAGTTCATGGGAACAAAGGGATGCTCAGATCATCTCCTTAATGCTGAATTGTATTGAACCTCATATTAGCTCCAACTTGTTATATCTGGACACTGCCAAGGAGATATGGACCCGACTCCAACAGTTATATTCCGGTGCTGGTAATATAACCAGAATTTATGAGGTGTGTAGACAATTTTTTGACCTCCAGCAAGGGACTCACAGTTTAGAAGAATACCTTTCAAAGGCAATGGGTCTTTGTGAAGAAATGAATATGTATTAACCCTTCACCTCTGATATGAAAAGCATGCAATAACAACATGAGGAATTTAATGTTGTTCGGGTTCTCACAGGATTGTCACAAGAGTATGAACCTGTTCGTGCACAGATTTTGGGTATCCTGCACTTCCCTCTCTACCTGATATGTTATCCAGACTCCAGCGGGCCACTTTATCTAGTGGCGCTTCAGGGGGTGCTTCAAGTGGTGTCACTGCTCCTCCTAGCAGTGAACGTTCTGCCTTCATTGTGAACCGGGTGGCTTTCCGTCTTCTCGTGGCAATGGTGGTCGTTTTTCTCATGGCCGTGGTCGAGGCAGAGGTAGGGACTCAAAGCTTTGCACTCACTGCGGTCTTACTAATTACACTGTCAATTATTGTTGGGATCTTCATGGGAAACCGCCACCTTCTTCTTATGCACATCAAGTGACTTCTAATGATGGGGATTCTTCTCTCTCTGCCACACCCATTGCTTCACATATGGCTGTTGAGACTGCTATGGTCACAATTCCCCGCGATGAGTATGCTCAGTTTCTGTCTCAACAACGGCCTTCCACCTCATCTTCCATGGGGTCTTTGGCCCAATCAGGTAGTACCCCTGCATGTCTTTTGTCCTCTAGTCAGAGTCCCTGGATTCTTGACTCTGGCGCATCCGATCACATGACTGGAAGTTCTCATCTCTTCTCTGATTTTCAGTCTGTTACTTCCTCTCAGAGTGTTACTTTTGCTAATGGATCATCAACTAAAGTTTTGGGTTTGGGAACTATTCATCTTACCTCTTCTATGTCCCTTTCCTCTGTGTTATATGTTCCTCAATTCCCTTTTATCTTGTTGTCTATTAGCAAAATTACTAAATCTCTTAGTTGTTCCGTTACATTTTATCCCACATGTTGTCTTTTTCAGGATCTCAAGACGAATAAGAGGATTGGTACGGGACATGAAGTAGGTGGCTTGTATTACTTCGATCTTGCACCATCTCCCACGGCTCTTCAATCAACTTTGTCTTCTTTCCAGTGGCACTGTCGTCTCGGCCACCCATCACTATTCGTTCTGCAGCGTCAAGTCCCCAGTCTTAGTCGTATTGAGTCCATGTCTTGTGAAACATGTCAGCTTAGTAAGCATTGTCGTGTATCTTTTAAACCGAGAGCTAAGAATCGTGTTGCTAGTCCTTTTCAATTAGTTCATTCAAATGTATGGGGACCAATAAAACATATTTCTATTAATGGATTTCGTTATTTTGTGACTTTTGTGGATGATCATTCTTAGATGACTTGGTTGTTTTTAATGAAAAATCGTTCTGAGTTGTTTTATATTTTCCAAATATTTCGCAAAGAAATCAAAACTCAATTTGGGTGTTCCATTAAAGTTTTACGTTCTGACAATGCCAAAGAATATTTTTCGGACCCTTTTGAGACTTATTTTCATGCCAAAGGCATCATTCATCAATCTTCTTGTACTTATACTCCGCAACAAAACGGAGTAGCTGAACGTAAAAATCGTCATCTCCTGGAAGTCTATCGTGCACTTTTATTTCATATGCATGTTCCCAAACGATTTTGGAGTGATGCTGTTCTTACGGCATGTCATCTTATTAATCGAATGCCATCGTCAGTGTTAAAAGGTAAATCTCCTCATTCTGTTCTATTTCCCGAGTTTGTATCGTTTAGTCTGACTCCACGGGTCTTTGGCTGTGTGTGTTATGTCCATAACCTTGGACCAGTTCTTGATAAACTCGATCCTCGTGCCACTAAGTGCGTTTTTCTTGGGTATTCTCGCACTCAGAAGGGTTATCGTTGTTACAGTCCCTATTTTCAACGCTATTTCACTAGTGCTGATGTAACATTTTCTGAGTCTCTCCCATATTTTTCTGATTCTACTCCTCCTCTCGATATTACTTCTGAGCCACCTATGCTAACGGTTGCATCTCCGTTTCCTGCTTCCGCACCTCCTCGCTCTGCTGTCCCATTGTAGGTTTATACTCGACGACCTCGACCGCCTACTTCGCTCCCTCCATCTCCTTCAGAGTCTTCGGATCCAATGCCTTTACCTGATGATTTGCCTATTGCTCTCCGTAAAGGTATTCGGTCGTGTGTTACTGCACATCCCATTTCTAACTTTGTCTCCTACCGTCATATTTCATCCTCTTTATCTTGTTTTTTATCCAAAGTATCTGCTACTTTTGTTCCCAAGACTTTGCAGGATGCTCTCTCTGATTTGGGTTGGCGACAAGCCATGGTGGATGAAATGGATGCCCTTCACCGTAATGGAACATGGGATCTTGTTCCCTTGCCTCCGGGCTCCAAAACGGTTGGTTGTAAGTGGGTCTACATAGTTAAATACCTTCACGATGGGTCAATTGAGCGGTTGAAGGCTCGTTTAGTGGCAAAGGGCTACACTCAGACTTATGGTGTTGATTATAATGAGACTTTTTCCCCTGTTGCTAAGATTTCTTCTATTCGGGTTCTTATTTCCATTGCTGTCAATTGTAATTGGCCGTTGTTTCAATTGGATGTCAAAAATGCCTTCTTACATGGTGACCTGGTTGAAGAAGTTTATATGGAGCAACCTCCTGGGTTTGTTGCTCAGGGGGAGTATCGTCACACTGTTTGTCGTCTTAAAAAGGCCCTGTATGGATTGAAACAATCTCTACGGGCTTGGTTTGGCAAATTCTTTGAGGCGGCATTAGAATTTGGTCTTAACAGATGCCAGACCGATCATTCGGTATTTCACCTGCGCACTAAAGCTGGCTTCATTTTTCTTATGTTGTATGTAGATGATATTGTGATCATAGGTGGTGATTCTGCAGGCATTGCTAAGTTGAAATTGTTTCTGCAAAATCGATTCCACACTAAAGACTTGGGTAAACTTAGGTACTTCTTGGATATTGAAGTTGCTAGATCCAAGAAAGGTATAAGTTTATCTCAACGAAAATATGTGTTGGACTTGCTAGAAGAAACGGGTATGTTAGGTGGTCGTCCGGTTGATGCTCCTATGGATTCAAATACAAAACTTGTGTCTGATGAGGGTGATCTATTTAATGATCCGGGCAGATTTCGTCACCTTGTTGGGAAATTAATTTATCTCACTATCACTCGACCTGATATTTCATATGCAGTTAGTGTTGTAAGTCAGTTCATGGGAGCTCCTAGAATGCCACATTGGATTGCTGTTCTTCGGATTATCAGATATCTCAAGCAAGCTCCAGGTTTTGGGTTACTATACGAATCAAATGGTTATCTCAGGGTGGAAGGTTTTACAGATGCTGACTGGGCTGGTTCTCCTTCAGATATGAGATCTACTACAGGCTACTGTACATTTGTAGGAGGAAATCTTCTTACGTGGAAAAGTAAAAAGCAAACGATGGTAGCTCGATCTAGTGCTGAAGCTGAGTACAGGGCAATGGCCCATACCACTAGTGAGTTGACATGGATACAACATTTTCTAAAAGAACTTGGATTGACAGTTGAAGCTCCTATTCCATTGTTCTGTGATAACCAAGCAG